GTTCTCCCACAGACGCGCCGTCGCCTCTCTCTTTTTACAAATACTTTCATGGTAATTGCTCCGAGGAACTGCATTCGCTGGTTCCCAGACTTCATGAATTCAAGCGCCCTACGAGGCTGGCATCCCGCTCTCACCCTTTCACTTTCGAAATTATTAAATGTAGCCGTCTCTTCTACTCCAATAGCTTCATATCTCGCACTTCTCGCCTGTGGAACTCCCTTCCCTATTCCACTTTCCCTGAGAGCTATAATCTCCAACTATTCAAATGTAATGTAAATCGACATCTCCAGTTGCCTTGATCTATCCTCTATCCTTCTCCCCATCCTTTCCTCTATCATTCCAATCTGATCTTGCTCCAAATCTTCTGTAAACCCTTGCGTCCTAGTGGCTTCCCGCCTTGCTTTGGGGTAAATCGCTTAAAAAATACTTGTAGTAAGCAATGAGAATTAAAGTCATAATAGCTTTCAAAGTTTTATAGCTAAGATTATAGACTCACATAGATGTATTAAAATGTATATGTGAATATTCAGAATTTCAAGAAGGCAAAGTGGACATTAAAAAACAGAGTTGAAAATTCGGCTTCCAATTCTGAATAACGAATGTGTTCACGTCTTTCAATAAAATAACCAGAAATTCTTACTATCTATCACCCAGAAATTATCATATGACTATTATATTGCAATGGGCTTTTAAGAAAGAATGACAGCGATATTCTACAAGTTACCCTTAATAAAAGCTGAAATGTGTCTGAACCACAATCTCTTCCCACCTAACCAAAACACATATTAAGTAATGATACTGCAAACACACTCTGTCTACCAATAATTGTTCTTAGGAGCCAAAAGTTATGAAATATATAATAAACAAAAAGTTTCCGGAAAATCACAGGACATATTGAAGGCAAGAGAAGTAGGGAGGGGAATGTTTTCATCCTACTTAAGTTTCTATGAATGGATAGCTAAATAAAGACAAAGAAGGGTGGAAAACGACCAAAAGTTACTTACAGCAACAAAAGACATCATGTGGTGGAAAGCTATGCTCGCCCACGGCACATTAAAGAAGACTGTCCTGGGTAAGACGATAAACTACATTCGCATCCTGGGTAAGACGATAAACTACATTCGCGTCCTGGGTAAGACGATAAACTACATCCAATCGCAAGGCCTCTGATCAGGAGGGTTTGAGAAGCGTGGAACCACCTCTTAATTGCTGGTGTTCCCAGGTCCATCCTGACCCGGGGTGATAGCACCTGTTAGGGTCCCAGCTATAGGTAAATAGTTGACCTCCAATTTGGGGTCGAAACACTATGAAAGTGTAAAAATAGGTTTTAATACAAGCAATGCATTTTTGTAAAAGGTTACTATCAGCAATGAATGTTTGAAGAAAAAAAATATTACCAGCAATCCAGTTTTGAAAAAAAAATTACCAGCAATAAAAATCTTGTTGATATTAAATAACCCATATGCCGTAAAATAAACTAAACATAAAAGAAGAACTCACCATCTTCTCATAGTTTCTCTTGTTACTACAATTCTTCTAAAGTTATTATGTAAATCCCATAAACCTCAAAATCTCTAATTTACTTTGAACAATTTTTGTCAAATTTTAAACGATGAATTTAGACATCAAAACAAAGCTTGGGTTAATTTTTTAAGTGATTTCAATGTTTTGCTAAGGCTATTGGATTTATTATTAAAAAAACTGCAGTCTGAAGTTATGCCGATGAAACTAATATTAGTTTAAGGTCTCTGAAATCTAGTAAAAACTGACGTCTAAATTAATCGTTTGAAATTTGTTCAAAGAAAATTAAAGATTTTGAGGTTTATGCGATTTGCATAACTTCAGACGAACTTTAGTTCAAAGCGTCAAGTTCCAATGCATATATGCGATTATATTAGGACTGAAGTTCACTTCTGACCTCAAGTGGAACTCATATATATGATCCATCGCTAAAGATTCTGGGTAAACCGTCAACTGTTTGTATCAATCCAGAAAATAGCTAACACCTTCTGCCATGAGTTACATTAGACAAACAATTGCTACCATGGCTAGGCTAAAGCCGCCCAATCCTCACTTTCCAGCCTTGATAGAGTTCAAAATCGTTGACACAGTCTTGAAGAGAATGACATTTTCCATTTTACAGCATCTTTCCTAAAGACACTACCTTGCAAGCCTATCGTTACTTCCATGGCAAATGTTCATATTAGTTCCACTCTTTGGTTCCCCCAGTTTATACCTTTACGGCTAAGACGGCTACATCAACAGAATCTATTGATCCGCATTTCCTCTGTATTCCATTTGTAAAGAGGAAGTTCCACATAGACTGCATTTTTTCCGAGAACTGCTACTTTGTGAAACAAACTTCCGCGTGGATTTTTCTCTGAACACCACATTCTAACCTCTTCAAATCAAAGGCCAATCGCTATTTCCTCTTGCGTTCATATCACACACCACATTGAATAACCCTCTACCATGAGTGGCTCTTGAGCCTTATAATGGGTGAAATGTAATATCAAAATATACTTACAGGTTTTCTTTGATTGTCATCACGTTGCCCTATTTCCTCTTTATTTCCACCTTTTAACAATTTCAGTTATGTATTTTTGAGGTCGATACAAGTGATCAAACTTCTGAGGTACTGGGTGTTTTTATTAGAACATTATCTCTAGATAGATGACTACCCAAGGTTAAAGAATATCTATCTCTCCATAAAGTGAGGACTTGTGACGTTGTGTTAGCACAGTAGTTTCGTCTACCCACAACGCTTGGGTTAAACAGTGGTATTGCATTCCGACAATTTCCAACAGTGCCGCTCTTTGGGAACGCTTCCACAGGCTGATATTACTTCCTTCGTGGCGAGATTCAAATCTAGGCCTCGTGGTGGAACGCTAGCACACTAACCACACATCTACGCCCTTGTTTGATCGTATATATGTTGAATTAAGCGTATTGACGTGTAAAAAAATCTACCACACAAGGGGAGGTGATCAATCGCTCCTTTTCTAATATGATGTCAATCATCTGCTTCTCAAAGTTTACATCAGCATATCTGTCGAATTACGCATGGAACAATAACGAATAATGAGTCCCCCCACTCTCTCTCTCTCTCTCTCTCTCTCTCTCTCTCTCTCTCTCTCGCACGCTCGCACACACATGAAAATAACGAAAAGCATTAACAATGAGTGAAGAGAAAGTTCAATTCCTTCCTTTCCCAAGTGGTACAATGTACATTAGCGACCGCGGATAAAAATTAAAAGTGAATTTCTCAGACGCTGATAACTGTATTACTTCACACCTCCGTCGCGTAGAGATTTACTGTAAAAGTAGAATAATAATTCAATCAATATTTTTTCAATAAGTAATTTTATTTCATTGTAAGTTATCAAGTATGCGTTGTGGATATAATATATTTCATGTTAGATATTAATCTTATAACACAGTTCGATACGCTAACTTCATTTATAACACTGCTGTATATTTGCCTCGTCTCTTATCCGAAAGAATAAACTTAATTTTGGAATCATAAAAGGACATGATAAAATGACTGATGTGAAATATCTGAACAAAGTATATATCTTTACCAACAAATCCATCCATACAAATAAAACTCCACTGATAAACTGATAAGCTCAAAGTCTTTGTAATTAAGATCATCCTAACCGTATTATCTACGATAACAGACGTAATTAACAAAACAAAAAATGAGATTAATAAATACAATTCAAATGCTGGTTGGTTGATTTTGTTTAGCAGTATATCAATAATTATGGGTTATTTAATGCTAAAATCTAAATAATTTGAACGCAATTTTATGGCTTCAACTATAGGTAAAATGAATTGCTGATAATATATCGTCGGTCTTTTTTATATAAAATGTACTACCGGTATTTTTATTATTAAAATGTATTTTTATACTTTCATGGTGTTTTTTTTTGGGGGGCTTACTATTTGCCCATAGCTGTGACCCTAACATGTGCTACCATCCCGGGCCAGAGAACAATAAAAATTAAGAAATGCTTCTAGGCTCCTCAAACCCTCTAATTTCCCGATCAGAAGTCTTGCTGCCGGATGTAGTTTATCGTAACACCCAGGACTATCAAATTCTGGTATATATATATATATATATATATATATATATATATATATATATATATATATATATATATATATATATATATATATATATATATATATATATACTTTTTTATAGATACAATAGATTTGTTTACATTTGATACGCCATGAGCAGTTATGAATGTACGAGATTCATGGAAGATTGAAGTTTATAAGCAGTAAATTCGACCTTGCCTACTGAACGCTTCTTTGTGGCCGAGTCGGTTAAGGCACGTCATCGTAAATGACGGTTCCGTATAGGATGCAGGTTCGAATCCTGTCAAAGGACGAATATTTTCTATGAAAATTTCTCGGACATTCAGGTAAATGTTATTTAATACTGTTTATTATAAACAGAGCATTTACTTAAATACTTGTATCTATAAAAAGAATGTTAAACATAAAAATGTCTTTAATAAATTGTCGGACTTTGTCCAATTCTTAATGTATATATTATATATATTTCTATGTGCTAAATGTGTAAAATTTATATTGGTGAAACACAATGATGTTTTTTAAAAACACATCTATGAACACAAAAGTACTATAAAAATAATGGATAAATTAAATATTTTACGTGACCATGTCTAATGTACAAACCATCTTTTCGATTTTGAAAGCGACAAAATGGTTAATTTTATTCATCATGAATCAGCTAATAGAATTAATAAATCAGTCTTGTCAAAAAGTATATTTTTATAACATATCACCCTTTCTGGCTAAGATAATAAGAAATAAAAATAAAAAAAATTATCATTATAAATTTTATAGTTTAAATCGATATTTTTCTTAAAAATATTATCATAAATTATAATTCAAATTATATGTATCCACTATTTTCTTTAGATATACTCGATTTATTTTTCTTTCCATAACTTTCTTTTGGCTTACGGCCATATCACGTTGAAACCCCGGTTCCCGTACGATTACCGAACTTAAGCAATATAGAGCTTCGTCCGTACGTATATGAGCGACCGCCTAAGAATACCAAGTGCTGTAAGCTAGAATGTTTGGCTGGTGTAATGGATAATGGCACCGAATTGAAAATCAGAAAGCAGAGTTCCAATTTCAGTTGGGTTCGTTATATTCACTTAGGTGACAATACCCTTGGTTAAGGTATGAATCTACATCTTCTCTCCCCAGCTATGGATTAATTAGTAAGACTTGTATCACTAAATCATTATTATCTATAAAAAAATTATTACAATCTAAAGATATTTTCTTGCTGTAAATAATCTGCAATGGGTTGATAAACCATAGAAAACGACTCAATCAATCAACTTTCTTTTATTTTCTTGCATCAAGGCAATGTTTCATATTTTAATTTAACATTTTCTGATGTATAATTGTTATGGATTTGTTCACGGGTATTTATTTTATTCACTAATATTTATTTTTAATTTAATTGTTAATTTTTTTTTTTAATCAAATTATTCACGACGTTTCTAAGTAGCATTGCTGCCATGGTAACAATTTTTTCCTTATATTTTTTTCAGTTGGTCGGATAATGCTCTTATTGAACGAAACGTTCCCAACAAAATAATAAACCTGATTTTCTCATTATTCTTCTTCTATATGCCATGTGTCTTCGTGACGTAGGTGGTCACTGATCTCCACAACATCCTATCCATTGTAACTCTTAATAAGGTTTGTTTTTTCGTCATCTCCCTTTTCTGTCATCCATTTACACAAACTCCATAGATAGGTTGCTGTTTTCCTCTGTTACTCTTGCCTTCAATATGTATTGTGAGTGTCAAATCCTCTAAACCTTCTTTCCTCATTATGTGTCCTAGAAATTTCAACTATCTCTTTCTGATTCTAAGTATAAGCGTACTTTTTGTTTCCACTTTTTCTAAAACCTCTTCGCTACTCACAGATTCAGTCCATGGGATTCTCAGCATCCTTCTGAAGAGCCACTGTTGCCCCGTCTGTTGTTCATCTTTGAAGAAATTGTCCAACATTCACTACCATAGAGGCAGACTGACCTTTGGTTGGGATTGGTATTCCATGAACATTAGCCCTAGCTTCAGCGGACTTTCCCACCTGGGTTTATTGCCCGTTGCCTGAGGCGTCACCAAAAAAGTGCCGAGGTGTGTGTGGGGTGGGGGTCTTGGTAATTTTTGCACGGTGTGGCCGTTAGACACACTTTTAACCTCGACATCCGGTTGCGACGTGGGTGACCCGGTAGATATCACCGTGGAGAAGGACTGATATTACATAACAGTTCTAACGAAATTTTTGGCGAGCTTTTGGAAGGTATTCCGATTTGTGGTCGGATCTCAGTGCCACACATTTCGCCTACTATTAGAACAGGAGGCACGGTGGAGTAATGGATAGCGGCTCGTTCGAGTTCGAGTTCCAGTCGAATCCATTATATTCACTTACGTGCTAGTACCCTTGGGAAAGGTATGAATGCTTTTCTTCTAGCCCCCCCACCACCACATACTATAGATAAATAGCAGGACAGTCCTTGTATGGCGACTGGTCTACCGCAGCAAGAAATGGCAACCTACTGCGAGAAAAAAATCTGCCTCGTCAGTCATGTATCGAAAGATGCACGATCGCATGAGCGGGTTTCACTCATGACACATTAGGCTGATTAGAACACCTCCCATATATTGAAATTTTCATATTTGATTGATTTCAACACGATGAGGACAACAATGTAAATGGTGTAAACTTTCTATCATTTGTGGCTCTTAGCACTGTTTATCTATTATCTCTGTTCTATCATCCATTTATATAATCTCGTTAGGAGGTTACTCGGTTTCTATATGTAAATTAGTTTTACATTGATAACTCCGACATTCGATAGAAACGATCAATTTACAAACCTATTATCCAGAATGAGATTTCTAACCACTTGGTTGTTCTATAAGATGGAAATTCAGAACATTTGGATCGCAAGTATAATGATTCTAAAAGTTGTTATTTGAAAGAAAAAACAAACCTTCACAATTATTTCCCTAATTCAAGACGAAAAAAACAAACAAACATTGATTAATGACGCATATTTACAAATTGTTCCCTTTTTCACATAAATATTTTCTAACAATAAATAATAGGCAGCAGTACTTTGGGAAGGGGGGAATGTTAAATATTTCTTTCGACAATTCGAACAGCCTTCTCAAAAACAAGGAAAAGGAAGTATTTTCCGGTGTGAAGAAAGCCATTATTTAAACCTTATCGTTCTTTTTCAGTGTTGCATTTTCAAGTAATAACAGGCTTTCTCATAAATCGACGCAGTCGCATTGCCTCGTGACAATATGAAACAAATTCAACAGGTAATCTATGCAACATTAATTTCAATATAGACTTCCGTTTAGCCTTACACGTAGCCGGAAGTGACGGCCGGATACTGAGATTTAATGTGCGATAGTTAAAATTTGCAGCCGCTGCTCTCTTTATTCGTGTGGGCCAGGGAAAAAGTAAACGGGTAGGAAATGGGGGCGTGCCACTCTTTGTGAGAATGCTGCAAGCAAATCTTGATTAGTTTTAACAGGAAAATAACTTTTTTCGATCAACAAAATTATTTTCTTTTATATATCTTATCTCCATTATCACGTGTTTTAGCTTCGGGTTTTACGATTTTATTGTGCATTTTTGTGAATTTATAGGAATTAGCTTAGTCGAATTCATATGGATTTATCTTTCAATCGATCATTATTTTGTGGCGTAGTGGCTGAAATTGTAACGAGCTTACTTCAAATCTCAGTAGTTGTTATTCGTAGGGGTCATAATTTTGAATAACGTTTGCAAAGACAAACAGATCGTCAGTAATTAGATAGTCACAACAGGATTTTACTACTATCGCTAAGTTCGTGCAGCTGCAAAATCAACTATACTTATGGCGTGTGATAAGTATCTGACTCCAGTTCGTGCCAAAACAGACTTTTCACTCGAAACCTCCTGGCTACCAACTGAAGATTCACGTGACCGGACCACCTGTGCTTGCTTACGGTCAAATCACGCTGAAACACCGGTTCTCGTTCGATCACCGAAGTTAAGCATCGTAGAGCCAGGTTAGTACTTAGATGGGGGACCGCTTGGGAACTCCTGGTACTGTAAGCCCCCAAAGTCCAACCCTTACCTCACAGTCGGTGGGGGGGGTTAACGGTAGTGTCAGAGCTATGCCGCCCGGAACTTCTTTCCTGGTAGGGCCACCCAAGGCGGACAGGTCTGACACACACGCCGGCTAACAAGGGCTCTGGTGAAAATCCAAGGAGCGTCTGCATCGGTAACCGGCGGCTTCTGGTCGTCCCTGTCTCTGCATCTGTGGGAACCCCGCGGCAAGCAAGAACGTTATCCGAGTAGGCCTGGGTAATTTATCCCAAGAATCTTCTTCTCATAACAGGAAGAAGCCGGCTCAATCCGCCCAGGGTGAATGCCGCATCAGTACAGTAGTAGTACCACCTGTACTTGGGTTTGCAAGCATAGGAACGAACTACATTATAGAAAATATATAAACATGCACCTCAGATAGGATTTCAGCAGCTTCTCAAATATAGCAGATGATAATGTAAGGACCACGTCTGAATGAGGGACCACGAAGGCATACACACATATACTATCTGACTATATGACAAGGTATTATTCTTCATTAATTTGTTTCGTCGCTTTAGGAATGGGGTGATCATGAATCTCCGCAGCTTCTTATCCTTCGTAGTTCTTAGTAAAGATTATCTCGTCGCTACCGCCCTCCCTGTTCTGCAAACGGTTTACACAAGCCCATTAAGTATTTTATGCGCTATTTTCTTCTGTCTTTTTTACCTTCAGTATGTCATGTGAGTGTCGAATTCTCAAAGCTCTCTTTGTTCGTTATGCGACCTAGAAATTCCAATTGTCTCTTTCTGGGTCTAAGTATAGGCATCTTTTTGTTTCCAGACTAGAATTGATGTCTCGACAAAATCACAGTGGAAATGTCAACGAGAAACCACTCCAATATTAATCGCAATATCATTCATGGCGAAGTATAGGAGTTGAGTGAAATGCACTGTCAAATATGAGAGATTAACTGCCGTTATCCTAAATCGATGCAGGGATATCATTATACAAGGTATCATTTCTCAGTCACATATTATAATTACATGTTATGTGACTAAACTCTTGGTTAACTTTTTTGCATATTATGATACAGTAGAGAAAACATGCTAATGTATGTCGATATCAAACAATAATTCTTGGATGGCAGAATAATTCTTGCGGATATCTGGACAATTTTTCTTGCTTTTTCTGAAATATAACAATATTTATTTTTAGCTATACAATTTTTTTATTGCAAAGGTATAAAAAGAATTACCTGAAAAAAAATACTACACTCCGTTCATTTCAACTTCAAGCAAAGACATTATCAATCAATGGCGTGTTCGGGTGGACTTTCTTTCGTAAGCCTTGTTTCGGAGTTTGATTATGGCGACGATGTGTCTTGTTCAGAATGATAAAATTGGGATTTACTGGTGGGGGAAAGGATTGAGGAGAGGTCTGAGAAATATTTACAACCAACAAGAAGAACATAATTTGAAACATGCGACAATTTTAAATGGTGGCTTACCGGTACAAATATAAGGGAATAAACCATTTGGCTTAATTACTATTCTTTCAAAACACGAATCAGAATGTATAGTCACGCGAGATGTAATTTTTACCAGATCAAGTTACCTTCAGCCGTGTGAGTTGAGAAGGGGACGCTTCTGAGATACCACGTGACCAACCGAAGACTCCGGGAAATAAACGAAAACTTAATACAGAAAATTTTAGTCATGTGAAACAAACTCCCCAAGTTATTCTCGTAAACGCATGACAACTCGCTCGCTGCTAACGTAATTCTTCAAGGTCCAACCAACTTCTACAAGTTTACCACAACGACATTCAGTCGGCACTCCTTTTCATCTAACTACGAAGCCTCCGTAGTTGGATGGAAGGAGTGCCGACTGAATATCGTTATGGTAAACTCGTAGAGGTTGGTTGGGCCTTGAAGAATTACGTTACCTGTCAACCCAGAACGGCACAGAAAATCGACAACACCTCGTAAAATTCAGTGTCACTCACTCCACCAAGGACTTAATTTTAACTTTAAATGCAGGTATAAGTTTCTACTTTATTTTTTCTTTGTCTCGATTAATTTTTATTACGCGCTAAAAAGAATATTTTCAGCATGCTTTTAAGCCCTTCTTTTCACATAAATTATTGCAAACAAATTGTTTCTGTTTCAATTTCACACTGAGTAAGGGTCCTTTTTATTGTACTTCTAAAGAAAAGACTAATTGATATTTTTGTATATGGAAAAATCCTCATCATTATTCAAAAATATTTATTTGCATTGTTCTAATCCCATGCCTACAAAACTTGGGTTTCATAGAGTTACATTTTGCAGGAATAACCTGAAATCGAACAAACATGGCATTCTGCTCCCTAAACCTTTGATTTAAATGACTTTTAATTTATTTTTGTCTTTCGACAAATATGCAGGAAAAAGTGACTTATTCTGACCTGCATACCCACGACTATTTTCCTCCGTGATACTGTTCATCTATTCTTTAATAAAGATCGTTCGCCTCTGTGTGTGTGTGCATGTGTATATGGATTAACCTCCAACTTTACAATATTTATACATTTAAAATCATATATATTTAGCATGTTCCAAAGTAAGTTTTCATAAATATTATTTCTTTTTATTACCCTTTATATAAGCGAAGCTATTTATAAATTAAAACAAATATAATAGGATGTTACGACGATATTTTAGCATTTCCTATTTAAACACAACCTCATTTAATTATTTTTTTTACATAAACAGTGGCAAAGTTAATGAATGCGTAAGGAATGAACGAATCGTGGAATATTCCATACTTTTCTGTTTAATAAAAGTCGATTTTTAAATTTATAAATTATATGTTTATTTTATATATAAACCCAATTATAAAAAATAAACTTTTAACCAAAAAAAAACATTAAACAAATTTGTATATATTTACATACATACACCCGATGGCATTCAATTATTTTTTAAAGAAACGGTAAGTAAAAATTAAATAAAATTGAAAATAAAAAGATTAAAATAATATATGGGCAATAATTTTATTTAATAAAGTGCTTACTTGTTTTAGAACTTAAACATTTTCTGTGAAAAGCGAGAGACTCTCTTTTCTTAGAAAGACAATTTCATATTTTTACCCATTAAAACAATATTAACCAAAAAAAAAAAAATAAATGAAAAATGACTGAATTAAAACGAAAAAAAAACTGTTTAATTTACAAATATCTTCGCCTATATAAAGAGTACAGAAATAAATTATGAAAACCTTCCTTGGAACAAATGTCTAAATTCTTAAGTTGCCAATTTTAAACAGAACAAACATGCACATAAATGATTTTCTTTATACATTTATTTAAATAGAGATGAAAAATTAAATTAAATTTTAATCAATATTTTTAGAAAAAATTAAATGACTGTTTAAATAGGAATGTGGATTCTAAGAATACTATAGACTGAACATGTGAGCAACGATGAAGTTTTAGAGAAAACGGAAACAAGACATTTATACTTAACATTAGAAAGAGAGAGTTGAAATTTCTAGGGCACATATTGAGGAAAGAGGGATTGGAAACTTTGATACCCACAGGACAGATTGAAGGCAAGAGAAAAATGATGCATAACCTAAATATAGCTTAAGGAAATGGATGGAGGAGCAATATTTAGAAGAGATAAGAAAAACAAAATTTATTGCGAAGGTCAGGAAATTGTGAAGAGCCATGACCGCTTATGTTATGAAAGGACACGATACATAGAAGAAGATTATTAATATTGTTCATTATGAATTTGTACATTACTAGTGTTATTTTGATATAATACATGAGCAACGCTGCTAGTCTAAAATATGAAATGTTAGCATTTCTTACATGCATATTTCAAAAATAGATTTAACTTTTTTCAAATGAAATCCGTTGTTTTTTTTTTTAAATATTGTTTGCTTCCTAAATAAAAAAAATGACTGAAATTTAGGCCCTTCGAGACATAGGTGATCATGACTCTCAACAACTTCTCCTCTTTTGTTGCTTTTTATCCTTTATCTACCATCATTTCACAGAAACTTGTTAAGTAGGTTACTTGCTGTTTCCCTATGCTTCTCTTGCTTTCAATATGTCTTTTGAGTATTAGATTCTCTAGGCCCTCTTTCCTCGTTATTTGTCCCAGAAGTCTCATGTATTTCTTTTTTATTGTAGTTCCTATCTTCCTTAAAACTTCCTCGTTACTCATATGTTCTGTCCATGATATTCATTGATAGAACCACATTTCTATCGCTTCAAGTGATTTCTTCATCTGTGGAAATATTGTCCCGCATTCACTGCCATATAGATTAGTTTTTGCATTGCAATTCAATATTCTTTTCTTTGTTTCTATGAACATTTTCCTATCTCTTAATTTTTCTCTTGGTTTCTCGGAAGCATCTTTGACTTTTTCTATGCCTCTTCGGATTTCTGTGTCACATTTTTCGAATGTAGAATTTATGTATCGGATTGAATTTAACATCCCTAATACAAATCTCAGACCTTGTGCTGTCTCTATTGCTGACAACCATGTAAACTTTCTTTTTTCTTCTTATTGTTGATACTCAGTCCTTTCTTCTTGCTTTCTTTTACTAATTTATCTGAAAGATTTTTTTTTCAGTTTTCCTTCTGGGTCTGGCATCAAGACAGTTGCATTTGTCTATCTTATGCTGTAAGTGCATCTCTGTTAATAAATCCTTGTAGGTCTTCTAGTTCTCTTCGGGTCGTTTCGCGGTATAATTTAATTAAATCCGGCAAGAAAACACATTTTTGTCTTACTCCTTTTTTATTTTTGTATAGGAACTGAGTTTGTTCCCTATCCGCATGTACTTATTACAATTTTAAATTAATGAAAACTAGTTTGAATAATTATAATAATAAATTTTGAATTTAACGAAAATTTTTAATCTGAAATTGAAACTTCAGAATTAAATCTACCAACTCACTGATCCAAATAACAGACTTTATTTTTTAGTAGTTTATGGACAAAGATGCATTCCAAAAGCTAAGCAGATTATTGGGA